GTTGCTTGCATTATTGATAAGCTGCCCCCTTCGTGGAAAGATTTTAAGAATATGCTTAGGCACAAAACCAAAGAATTTTCACTGGAAATCTTGATTACTCGCCTAAGGATTGAGGAAGAGTCCCGCAAGCAGGATATGAAAGAAGAGGTGATGGTCGTCACTGCTAAACGACCCACCCCTAGAGCTCTTAAACCTAACCAGAAAGGATTTAAGAGTAAGAACCAGCAGGTCCGCCCCCACCAGAATGGTGCCTCTCGAGGTAACCAAAGGGTCATGGCCCAAACCTCTAAGAATGACCCACCGTTTATCTGCTATAACTGTGGAAAACCGGGTCATATGGCAAAAAAGTGCTGGAACAAGCAAAACCATGCCGCTGCGGCCACGGTTAACTTGACAGAAGAGGATTTGATAGCCATGATCACAGATATGATCGCTGAAGTTAACCTCACCGGTGACTCAGAAGGATGGTGGCTGGATATAGGTGCATCGAAGCATGTATGCAACAATCGTGCTATGTTTAAAACATACACAGAAGCACCTGCTGACAAGAAAGTGTTGTTGGGGACTACTCACACCACTATGGTTGCTGGTTCTGGTGAAGTGGAGCTGAACTTCACCTCTGGGAAGAAGATGGTGCTCAAGGATGTGTTGCACACTCTAGAGATAAGGAAGAATCTTGTTTCGGGATATCTTCTTCATAAGGCTGGGTTTAATCAAACTATTGGGGCAGACTTGTACACCCTTACTAAGAATGGGAGTTTTGTGGGAAAGGGATATGCATTTAATGGGATGTTCAAGTTGAATGTCGAAATTAATAAGATGAATTCTTCAGTTTACATGGTGTGTGATTTGAATGTTTGGCATGCTCGTCTTTGTCATGTGAACACTCGAATTGTGAAGAATTTAAGCAAGCTAGGACATATCCCTAAACTCTCAATGAATGAATTTGATAAATGTGATTTCTGTAGCCAAGCTAAAATAACAAAAACGCCCCATAAATCTGTGAGTAGAAAATCAGAACCCTTAGATCTGATTCATTCTGATATTTGTGAACTAGATGGGACGTTAACTAGGTCGGGCAAGAGATACTTTATCACTTTCATAGATGATTGCTCTGATTATTGCTTTGTTTATTTGATGAAAAACAAAAGTGAAGCCCTTGATATGTTCAAGGTATTTGTGGTTGAATTTGAAAATCAGTGCAATCGAAAGATAAAAAGACTTAGGAGTGATAGAGGATCAGAGTATGACTCTAATCCCTTCAAGGAATTCTAGAGCTCACATGGTATCATTCATGAAACCACGGCACCATATTCACCAGAAATGAATGGTAAAGCTGAGCGGAAAAATAGGACGTTTACAGAATTAGTTGTGGCTATTATGCTCAATTCTGGAGCTGCTTCTTCTTGGTGGGGTGATATTTTGTTGACAGTTTGCTATGTGCTAAACCGTCTTTCAAAAACAAATAGAAAAGAATCACCCTATGAGATCTTGAAGAATAAGCCACCTAATCTGTCCTATTTAAGAACGTGGGGCTGTTTGGCTTACGTAAGAATTCCGGATCCTAAGAGGATTAAATTGGCTAGTCGAGCATATGAATGTGTCTTCGTTGGCTATGCGGCCAATAGTAAGGCATATAGATTGTATGATTTGAATGCTTGTACTATAATAGAATCCATTGATGCTGATTTCTTTGAGACACGATTTCCATTTAAAACGAGAAATAGTGGGGGTAATGTACTACCCGCTATTAGAGATAACGGAACTAGTGGGGGTGTTGGTTCTGAGGATGAACTCAGAAGAATTAAAAGAGCTAGAATCTCTAAAGATTTTGGTGATGACTTTACTACAGTATTCACCCTCGAAGATCCAAAAAGTTTGCAGGAAGCATTAACTTCCGTAGATGCAGATTTTTGGAATGAGGCCGTTATAGATGAAATGGAATCGTTAGAAGCTAATAAGACTTGGCATCTAACAGACTTACCTCCTGGCTGCAAAGTCTTAGGTAATAAATGGGTTCTAAAAACGAAACGGAAACCTGATGGTGCAATCGAAAGGTTCCGAGCTCGCCTAGTAGTTAAGGGCTACAGGCAGAGAGAGAATATAGATTTCTTCGATACCTATTCACCAGTATCAAGAATAACATCCATTCGTGTAATGATTGCTCTTGCTGCCTTGAACAATCTCGTGGTACACCAAATGGATGTTAAGACCGCTTTTTTGAACGGAGATCTGGATGAAGAAATCTATATGGAACAACCAGAAGGGTTTGTTATCCCCGAACATGCCTCGAAAGTCTGTAAGTTAGACAAATAATTATATGGTTTGAAACAAGCTCCAAAACAGTGGCATGAGAAGTTTGACACTCTCGTTCTCTCACATGGCTTTAAGGTGAATGAAAGTGACAAGTGTATTTACTGCAAGTCGGAAAATAACACTTGCACTATCATATGTTTGTATGTAGATGACATGTTGATATTTGGTACAAATATTCACGTGGTCAATGAAGCAAAAGCCATGTTAAAAGAGAGCCTTGAGGTGAAATATCTGGGAGAAGCAAAGTTTATGCTTGGAATCCAGATAACTAGAACAGCAAATGGTTATTCTCTAGATCAATCTAGCTACATAGAGAAGATCTTGAAGAAATATAACTATTTCGATTGTAAACCTGATTGTACTCCGTATGATGCTAGTGTAAAGCTATTTAAGAACACTGGAGACAGTGTAAGACAATCATAATATGCTAGCATCATTGGCAGTCTCCGTTATGCAGCGGATTACACTCGACCAGACATTGCATATGTCGTGGGATTGCTTGGCAGGTTTAACAGTTGTCCTAGTAGAGAGCATTGGAATGCTATAGAGAGGGTCATGAGATACCTCAAGAGAACAGCAAACCTTGGTATACACTATCAAAGGTTTCCTGCTGTACTAGAAGGGTATAGTGATGCGGATTGGAATACCCTATCAGATGACTCCAAGGCAACCAGCGGGTATGTTTTTAACATCGCTGGTGGAGCTGTGTCTTGGAAGTCAAAGAAACAAACAATCCTAGCTCAATCAACTATGGAGTCAGAGATGATAGCACTAGCAACGGCTAGGGAAGAAGCAAGTTGGTTTAGAGGATTGTTGTCAGAGATTCCCCTCTGGGAAAGGCCGTTCCCTCCGGTATTGATCCATTGTGATAGTATCGCAGCTATCGCTAAAGTTGAGAACCGGTTCTATAACGGAAAGAAACGACAGATTCGTCGTAAGCATAGTACTGTAAGAGAACTCCTAACGATAGGAGCAGTGAGGGTGGATCATATAAGATCCGAACAGAATCTAGCTGATCCTTTGACGAAAGGATTACCTAGAGAGAAAGTCCAAAATACCGCCAAGGGTATGGGACTTATGCCTACCGAACCACGGACTACAAGTGATGGTAACCCGGCCCAATAGACTGGAGATCCCAAGAAATGGGTTCAATGGGTTATAACAAGTCATGAGTAGTATGCGAAAAGTTCATGCATAGTGAAGCATGAATCCCAAAGCAATGGAGGTTGAGTTAATAACTCTTAATGAGATCTATACCCTATGTCGGGTGGAGTACTTTACTTTGGGGGTACTCCTAATAGACTCACCTATGTGAATGTGGGAGTGGGGCCGCTCCCTATGGAACTTTGGAGGCACAAAGTTGCTAGAGCGTTCACTAAACCAGGATAACGTGCATGGCCATAAACGTACGGGCTAAGAAGAGAACACAACTCAATGAAAAGATCCGGTGTGCTACACTGTCTGAGATAGGGTTCAAGACTACGAGTCACCTTTATGAAATCGGAAGTGTAACCACTACGCTAAGGTTCAAATCTTCGCGATACCTTAGCTTATGCCCGATCTTATGGAACTGTTAATGCTCAGAGATAGTTTCAAAACTATTCAAGTGGGGGATTGTTGGAAATGTATATGAATAGCTTTGAAAGCTATAGAGTCTCAAGTGGAAAAACTACCACATTGGTAGTTTTACTTGGTGAAATGGGTATAAAGATAGGAGCCTCTCTCCTAAGGGCATGCCCCTTGGGGTGACCCACTTTTGTGGGAGAGGGAGGACCTAACGGACCACCACACACACACACGCGCGCGTCGCCCGTCCGTCCGGTTGGTCGGTCGGTCGGTTGGTTGGTTGGTTCACTTGAGACTACATATATATTTTTTACAGAAATTCCGAACGATATTAATTATTAATCGGTTATTCTGAGGAATATTCTAAGGATAATCGACTGAAAAAGGAATATTCGAAGGATAATCCCTCCGGGTTTATCTTAACCGACGGTTTTAATTAAGGAAGTAATTATCTTCCTTAATTAATCCGACTTATTCCCCAAGCAAGAGGGTATATTCCTAGGGGTTCGGCTCCTATAAATAGCCGCCTCCCCAGCCACTCTAAACACATAACAACGAGCATAAACACAATAGAGAGTGTTCAGAGAGCTCCGGTTTTCGCACAAAACCGCGAGTATTGAGAGGAGCTGTTTTATTCTGGAGATGACCGGTTGATAGTCTGCCGTGCGCATCAAAGGCAGTGTCGCGAACGTCTTAAAGAGAGCGACCTAGTCCGCGACTCAGCTCCAGATTCGGTAACCTCGTTCTTCTTGTTGTTCCGTTCCTAACAGGGAGTAAGCTGGGGAAGAGTTGAATTTGAATTGATTAATAAAGGTAATTAGGTAATGATATATTTTAAGTTAGGGCGAGGTTTAGCCATCCCGTATTAATATGGGTATCATGATAAAACTAAAAATGTAATCATCCGGTTTCCTTCTATTGATTTGGAGTACCACATCAAAAAAAAATTACATTGTGTATACTAAAAGTACCTAATAATTTCTCGCTCTTTAGTCTTTATTTTTTCTTTCGATTCCAACAAAGATAAAAATGTGTTTCCTTCTGATGGAAAACTTAAACGAATAACGTAATCATAATTAAGTAAGTATAAAAATCTAAATAAATTAACACACCTAATAATAACGTTAAAAAAGATCCCACATTGTTTGCCTATCTTCAGCGATAAAACCCACACAATATAATAAATTTCTTCTTCTAGGTAACCGAATAGAAATATAATAGATATAGGGAGTTACGTTTCTATATATATAAATCAGACAGTAGTGAAACCAAAACCACCCAACGATAACAATGAAGTCCCTGGAGATCTTCATCATCGCCGCCGCCGCCGTCGTCTTGACCATCGTGACCGGAGCCAATACGACGACCACCGTGTCCGTCAGCAACGAACGGAGACCGGGGCTAGCGAGCAGCCCGATCTACGTCACGTGCTACGAAGGGTTGGGACAACAACCGCCGCAGACCATTCTGCCAGGTCATGAAGTTCCTTTCCAGCTGAAGACGCCGGCCGACGGGTTGGGATGTTTTTGCGTGGGGAGGTTCTCGGAGTTGGACGAAATGGGGAAGCCCAGATATTACATCTACGACTCTCGGCACGGCAGCAGTAATTATGGCGGGTACGGCAACTGCGAGTCCAGCGTCGTCTGTCCGGTCAAAGCCAACGATACCAGCTTTTATGGTTGGAACCAGGGAAAGCGAGAGTGGGATATTATTATGCCCAAAATATGGCTTCCTTGATTCAATCTTCTGCAGGACTTTCTGTTGAGCTGCGCACCTTTTTGTTTGTCTTAGATCATTTGGTTTTAAATTGTCCATTCTATTATATATTTTACGATAGGTTGTGCTTATTTTACAATATTTCATGTTCTGGAGTGTGGTGAAAGCATGGGAGTGAGTTCCATGACATTTGAATGCTAAAAGAAGGGGGGGAAACACTCACAATGATTTTCATAGTCATGGGCATGAAAATCACGATCCATCTGAGCCTATGCAACCATTTCCAGAGGTTCTGCCCAAAAGGATAGGCAGAACAATCAAAAAGCCCGTGCTTTTTTCAAAAAAGCACGACGTCCATGGAAAAAGCATTGAGAAATTGTGTTAGTAAATGGCATAATATTAATTATTCAACCTAATCCAACAGCTCCAGTTATTGATAACAAACGATTTTCATCAAGTGCATCATTCGAAAGCAAACGACTAACTAAATCATAAATAATTGTTTCGTACACTAGAATAATATTTGTTTATTGTTTCGAATACTATTTTATTTTAAATTACCAATTTTTTCAAATATAATATTAAATCTCAAATTATTAAAAAAGTTAACAAAAGCTATTTTATCTTTTGCATTTTTCTTAAAATGGACCCACCCTAAAAGAATTCATGGCTACACTCCTGACTGTGCTTTTGTCACTATCGGATATAAAAAAAATCTATGAATCTTAAAGGGGGCCTGGGTTTTTGGATCTCGAACACCCAAAGGACGAACCCTAGAGAGAGAGAGGGAGTCGAGAACCTTCCGAGAGATGTTTTGGAGGATTTCTTTGCCATTGAAGCTCGTGAATCAAGTTTCGAGATGGAGATTGAAGATCTAGATCAGATTTATGCATTATATGTATTCTCTTTGAAGAAACTTCCCTTCACTTAGGTTTTGAGGAACCATATCCCTGTTTTGTTTGATTGGATGACTATATGAGCACTCTATTTTGATAATCTTGAGTTCATATTCAATATATGCTTGTTTCATGTTCAATTCTGCTTTAATCGAGATTATTGATTCTACTTTGATTCAATGAGAGGTAATACCAAATTAGGTCAATAGAGCACCATAGATTGGAAGCACTGGAACAATTGTGCGAGAGTGAGTCGCTTCACTGCTTTGTATTGAGTGAGAACCTCACCCAATAGAGGGAGTCTAGTGTAGAATGCCTTGATCGATTTTGTTAGAGACGGATATGTGCCTCTACGCAACCGACTCAAGAGGGCTTTGATTGCTTTAATCTAGATTCAAGGTTTAGTTAGTGATTATGCACATTATGAATGAAAAGTGAAACTAGTGTTGGTATTTGGTTTTTCGGTTAATGGTATAATCGGTTATACGTTAATCGTGGTATCGGTTGCCGGTGACGAAATCGAAGAGCTCGGTATACCGGATCACAGTCGGTTAGTAACCGGTGGTTAGTTAACTAACCAACAACCAATATCCACAGCATACGGCAACGAAACAAGAAATCCGCCCTACACCCCACCCGACTTCGACTTCCTCCCACGTGCCTCACGTTGGCTTCGTTCCAACTCTCTGCAGCCAACAACCCTAAGGAAGAGGAGTCGTCGATTGAGACCACCCCCAATCCACCACATGGCACCAGAGACGGTAACCAGCAGCACCATCAGCCGATGCTCGAAGCTCCACCTCAGATTTTGAGAGAGCGACGAGGAACAAGGTTGCTGGCAGCGAACGAGGTTGGGGAAATTAGCCATTTTAGTGGTTGGTATTAGATCACGTGCAAACAAGGTCATCAAACGCGTTCGAATCCATCTGCAGATCTCTCCCCGATTCCGCTAAAAAAAGCTTGTTCCAACAAGTAGCTGATCCTCTCTTGCTCTTCCTGAACGCCTTCATCGTCTTCTTTTAGCGGTTTCTCCAACTCAAGTCTCTCACCTTCGAATACCTTGTCCCCCTTCGATTCCTCAAAATCCTTATTACAAGAGATCGCTATCTTCCTGGTGCGATTGTGGTTGTAGTCTCTTTCGAAGGAGTTCACGAGATCGAAGAGGTCAGCGGTAGGGAAGGAATTGTTGGGTCTGAAATGCTCATTGTTCATGCTCTCACAATGACCCCTTCCTATCCCTCCCATGCCATGCCATCCATCGAGTCCTTCCCTATGCATTTTCGCCGTCTTCAGGCGCATGTATTTCATGGTGGAAAGAACCGTTGAGCTTTTGTAGGTGCTTTGATTGCATGCAGCCATCAAGAATAGCATATGAGGGTGGAGATAATGCCAGAAACATATCTGAACCTTCTACCGATTGCGTCAATCCAAAAGAGAAAATGCCCATAAGTCAGAAAGGTATCATTGGTATACTAAGCGATAATCGGTTAACCGGTTAACCAACTGCCACACGATATCGGTACCTGGTGGTTGTTTAACAAGGATCGGTATACCGATAACTTACTTACCGGGTATTGGTTAAACTGGTAACAAACCGATTGCCAGCCCTAAGTGAAACAAGTTAGAGAATCATCAATCATTAATCCGACTAGTGGCTAAACGAAAGTAGTACTTGAGTGAGTTCTGAACATGTAATCAGATTAACCTTAATTGTAGTTTGTTAGAGTAGTTATAGTTGTTTTGTATGAATATGATTTGGCTAGATAAAAAATAATAATGAGTAATAGTAAATCTATAGACACGTGGACTCAATATTTTTATAACTAGTGTCACTATATCGTAGTCCCTTTCATTGGTTACACTTGTACTTTGTTAGGATTGTAGTTTGTAGAAACCAAGTTTTTGGCACTGTTGTCGAGGATATTCTAGGTTATTAGGAAAGACAGATGTTTGTTAATTTATCATTTCTTTCTTTTGTTTGTTTTCTTTTCTACCCTTGCTTTTCACCTGGGTTTTTTGTTTTTTGTTGTGCATGCTTGAATCATGAATCCCAACAAATTCTCCAGCATATAGGGATGATGCGTAGTAAAGCAAGCCAGCAATAAATCCTAGATAAAACTAGGGTTGTATTCCACAAGGTCATTTGATAACACCTACTAAAAACTAATCACTTGTGCTTGAGATAGCTTATGACACTCAATTTATAGTATTTCTCACTCCCATATTTGCTACAATTTCCCCTTCTATCAATGCAGCTTTAGTATTTTTCACTATATTTTTCATATGGAATTCATAATTATTTGATTAATGTGTTTATGATAGACCTTGTGTGTGATTCTGTACTATTTGATGCCTTTATGGTGTTGTTTTGTGCTTTTCAAGGTTATAAACCGCTCAAGATGAATATGGACCAACAAGGGTTCCAATGGATCAGAAGGAGGATGAGAATACAAGCTCATGGTCCCAAATGGAGACGGATTCTGACACTGGAAGCTCAAGCTATGGATCATAGAATAGTATTTTGAGGACCAGATGGGTTAAACGAAGTCTGATTGAGCTTAAATTTCAGGAGCAGGTCCATGAGCCCAAGATGAAGTTGCCCACCAAAAATGGGCCAATTTGGATAAGAATTGTGAGCGTCGGGTACAACCGCCGCTGACACAAGTTGCGCCCAATTCATCAGGAGAAGAAGTCCATGGGCCATAAAACCCAACCCACGAAGAAACAGAGGAACGGTCCAACTGTTGTGGCACGCCGCTCAGACCAAAACCCTCCATAAAGCTTTCTTTACAAGTAGCTTCATCCACAAGTCAAATGAAACTAACTTCAAGTCGGATAATGAATGGCCGACTTATAGGAGGAAAAAAGACTAGAAACCCCCTTTCTGTAACTAGTATAAATAGGAGGTTAGGCTATAGCTTTTATACACACTTCATAATCACTCTAACCTAGGGGCAATAGTAAGAGAGCATAGGAGAGGAGGAGGAGCTTGAAGAGGATGGGCTCATCATCTACTGTGATGTCTTCCAATTCTTCTTTGTTTAGCTAGCTCGATCTGTTAGGGATGTAATTCGATGATGCTTTGTGCACTATTTCTGTGATTTATTGATTGCTTTTGTGTTTATTATTCATATAATCGATACTTGATGTCAATCTATGCTTGTATTATATATTGCTTGACGGGTTCAATACGATGATTATTAGATGTTTTAGTTAATCAATGCTTATGATTCTATTGAATGCTACTATAGTTATTGTTTCTACTGCTATCATGGGAAACAAGGAACAAATCTCATATAGTAGGCATCCTTCTGAGGTATGTATAGGCCGATTGGAAATCCTTCTATGCATGACAAAGGGAGATGTTTGATTCTTAGATCATCGATGCTATAGACTATAGTTATGATTCGTAGCAGCCTACAATTAATTATATGTTATCTTAACTTCTTTGTTTTTTATTGATTAGGTAAGGACATGAAACAAAAACACGCATTAGCTAGTCAAATCTCTATCACAAGAGGCGCATGCACAGTTAGAGAGTGTATTCAGTGGAAGGGATAGGGCATCTTAATAGAAGAAGCATTGAAGCATCTTTTTAATGATAACGAACACATGATCATCTACAGTTTCTATCTAAACATTAATTTTCGTTGCTTTCTTGTTTGCACTGCATCTTTGTTTGTTTATTTGTTGCATTAGTAGTTAGTAATCTCGAGTTATGGCACCTCATCCCATCATATTTACTTTTTCTTGCATCTCGATTCGAGCTCAATAAGTTAGGTTTGAGTAGTTACTATCAAAAGACCTCGTGGAAACGACCTTAGGCACATCTAGGATTGTCACTTGTATTTTCTACATCAAATTTTTGGCGCCATTTTCGACTATATTTTATAGTATTTGAAATAAACTAACCTCTTGTGTTCGGCTACTTTTGAATATCACCTTGTTTGTTTTTGTTTTGTAGAAATAGTACTCGAGGGAAGTATTGCAAGGCATCTAAGGACGAAAATAGTTGAAGCATCACTCGAAGAAAGATGAGCCAAAAGCATCAAAAGTCTAAGCAAGCAACACCTAGCCTCTCCCACTACAATTCTGTCAAGATAGGATTCCTCTCGATTGGAGTAGAGAGACATCAAATCAAGAAGAGCAAGAGCTACTATGAGAGACAAATGGACATAACCCTACCATAGCGAAGATGGGGCAAGTTTCTTTCTCGATGCAAGATACCAAATCAAGTCAAAACCTTCTATGACCATTGAAGTTATCATCAAAGAAATTGCTAGAAGATGTTCATATCATCGAGGAGCCTCCCGAAGCCGATCAAAGAAGTTCCAATGAAGTGTCTTAAGGTTTTGAAGAGATCAAGGTGCAAAAAGAGCTTATGGAGCATAAAGATTTCGTGTAGCATGAACAAAAGGAAGATCATCTCAATGCTAACACGTAGGAAGATAGAGAGATCGTGGAGCATGGAGCATGGAGAGGAGGATCAACATGAGGCCAACAAGTTCAAGGAAGAAGAAGATGAGTTTATAACTCAATCTTTGGAAGAAGAAGAAGAAGAAGGCAAGAGACATCCTCAATAAGATGCAATGAACGAAGAAAGCTACTCACGACTCGATGAAAGCATCTTACAAGCCATGGAGACCATGATAGAGCATCTTCAAGACCTCAACCTATCCAAGAAGAGAAGGATGATCAACCTACCCAACAAGGAGCCTCGAGAAGCATAGATCAACACACATGAAGTGAGAACCTACCGAAGCAAGAAGGTCATCCAATATCTATTCAAGTACCCTATTGCAAACACTGAAGAAGAAGAAGAAGAAGAAGAAGAAGATTTGAAGGCCAATGCATGCAAAGATGAAGATCCATTGGATGGCCAACGAATCCGAGGATGAAGATGATGATCTTATAAATTTTGGAGAAGGATGTGAAGCATGTGGAAGACCATGGAGTCTAGTAGAGATCTTAGAAATTTCTAAAATATAGATATTTGTGTAAAGATTTCTAGATGTTAGATCTTAGTCGTAGAATTAGATAGTTATTATCGTACATTTTGAAGATGAGGCTTATATAAGGAGAACGTCTCACTCACTTTTATGCTCACTCACTTTTATGAATCCAGAAATAGTAAGAACAACACATCTCTAAAAAGAGTTCCTCCAATCTTTTGAGTTTGAGCAAAGATTGACTTAGCATTTTAACTAGACTTGAGCGCTAAAGGCGCAAAGAAGAGTCTAGTCTGAAACAAACACCAGAGAGATAGGAAAACGGCGCTCCCTAATGTTTTGTCGGCCCTTTGTCGGCCCTTAATTACCCACGAAACTTCGATCAAAAGCTACTCAATCAATGCCCTCCTTTCATATCAAGCCATAGATAATTACCATTAAACTAATACAATGTTGATCATGGTGAACATGTACTCATTACCCCTGAACAGCTTAAATATTGCTCGAAGCTTGAACATGATTTCCTATAAAGATTCTCCGGCAAATGACCCCCACTGACCACAGGCAGAGACCTGCTTGATGATACCTAGACCTGGTGTAGCAGGGAAGAAATATATGCATATAATAGAACAGAAAGCGGCATTTTTCAACAGACCAAGTAAACTAAATAGGGATCTACACACAAAAGTGTACTACTAGCAGCCCCTAGGAAGTGGGAAAAGGAAGCCAACTCAATGATGAAGCTAGTGGCTAAAAAACAAAAGTAGATCCCCTCTCCCTTTCTCGGTATAATGGATCCACATGAGAAGCAGTAACATGTAGGAACGGGATCATCTATTTGTGCCTCTTTCAGAACTACTAGATTCAGATGACAAAATCCACTACTAATCTTTTAAGTATCAAAGGGCTTCATGGCCTCTACTGTTCTTGTTTCATGAATGCAATATAGCAGAGTTCGCTGCTTCATATAATCTTGTGTCACGAATCTATCGGCTAGATAAGCCATTTTGTCGGCTTCAGTAAATAAAAATAAAAACAGAGAATACAGGGAAATTTCGTTTAACCTGTACTGCAATCTTACAGTTGTGCCGACTGCATTTCCAACTATGCCAACATCCTTCTGTGCTCAGATCTCCTGCCCTTCTTCTTGAAAGCTATAGGATGCAACAACCGCTTGAAAGGTAGTAACACCATCGTTTTCTTCAATTTTGCTCTCGTTCTTCCTTCATTTGGCAAAAAGAACCAATGCATGGAGGAAATAGCCAAAGAGAGAGTAGGATCAAGTTATGCAGCGAAAATAAGAACCAATAAGATGAAAACGATGTAAGAAAAGTTCATCAAGACTTCAGGTTCCCATACAAACTTACTCGAGACTGAGAAAAACATAAAACATAATGACAAATCCATGAACATCCATTACCCTTAATATTCAGGTCCGGGTATCATCCAAATCCAACTCTTAATCAATCTACTTCATGTTCTATCCTATCTGATTGGGTCGCGTTCTAAAGGACATCTACAGTTGTTGATATTTTTTTTGTCAGGGATCAGTTAAGAAAGGCCTTCCAACAAATATGAACTACTTCCTCAATAGGATAGACAGAAAACCAGAAGGCAAAGTCATCTTTTACATGGAAAAGCACAATAGTACCTGAAGATGGCACTGAGGTCAAATTTTTGCCTTCATCCTTTCCATGGTGTTGTTCTTGAGAATTCTGATCCTCAGAGGGCAGAAAACTTGCAACTTGAGAGTCATCTTCAACATCATCATCTGAAAGGAGGATAATATCTCTGTTGACTTCTGTCTGCTCTACCTCCTTCATTTGAACATCTACAATTGAACTATAATTTGCAGTTCGTGAAGCATCCCTAGGAATGATGTCGGACGATAGAGGGAGAGAAAACTTATTCTCAACTGAAACTGTATTGTTTTCAGATTCAATCAGTTCAGTGCCTGAAGGATTCGTGCAATCCTGTGAATCTTTCTGGGGTTCTAAGATCGCCTCAATATCTTGATGAACAACAATCTTTGCATGCAATTCAATGTCAAAGTCTTGCGACTTTGTAGACTTGTCAATTTGAGAAAGAACGTCTGTGCTCCCGGATACCTCAATAGGCATCACAGATGTGCGATAGACCGTATTATCATTTTGAGAATTTGATACAGAGGAGATTTTTTGTGAAGGCGAATCATATCCTTCAGTTTTAGCTGGCGAAACTGAGTTCCCTAAGCCATCCAAGATTGCAGCTTCTTTCCCGCCGGTGCTTGTTGGGCTCCTAATCTCGTTAGAAGAAGAAATAGCTATTGTCTCAGCATCAGGTAAACTGACTTCCTGACAGTTTTCAGAACCAGAAATTTGATTCTGTGATGGTGCATCTGACATCTGACAAGTCGAGGGATGATCTCCATCAAGCTTCTCAGGCACTTCAACAGTAGTGGGAGTTAACACAAGGGACGTGGAACCCATCTGAAAGCGTCCACCAAGTGAAGAGGTGTTATCAATAATTGAATCGAAGTCAATTGCTTTCATGGTTTTTGACGCCTTCACTGCCACTGGCACATCATCTAACTGTAAATCACCTTCCCCACTAGAGATGGGATCCCACATAAGCCAATCCGCAGAAAAGGGATTCTTTGAGTCGGATGTTTGTCCATTTGATAAAGGCTCCACCCTGATAGCTTCCTTGTAGAAGTTCCTTTTCCTTAAGGAATTAGTTAGAAGACTTCTGCATGTCATTTGCCCCAAAACAATAAAAGTCAGAGAATATAAATAAGAACATATGCAACATCAATCGACCATTGATTGCATGCTCCATACCTACAATTTTTGGAAATGGCTGCTTTGGATCGTTCCATAGAGAGGCCCAGCAACATCGATAATAAATTTGCAACATCATATGGCCCTCTAATTTCATTTACAGAAGAAGCAGCACTAGAAAAAATGAGATTCTTGCCCCGCGTCCAATCAACCAATAACTGGAAGTTAAGAAACATGTAGGACATATTAGGAGTCACAATTCCAGACAAAGGGAAAATGCCAGCCAGGTACCAGAAGAGAAGAACCAAACTGTACAACCATTTCAATCAGACCATCAGCCTTAGAAAATAAAAGATAGTTTCTGACAAAAAAATAATAATAAAACTAATAATAATAGATAGTTGAAGATGTCACAAACTCAATGGACTCTGAAATTCCTTACAATCAATCCTTTCTCCCCTATCCAGTAAGCAATATCAGGTATCCTCTGTGGAAGACCATGCAGAAGCAGTAACCACAATGGGTTTCGGCCACTGCATTAGAGATATATACTGAAAGTTAAGATAACTTAGCAGCCAATTCACAAGACCATCCATCACCTAGATCACTCCTGAACAAAATTCCATCTACATGAAAGGGGCAGACTTTGTTTCGAATCAAAACTCGATGGCTGATGCAAAGAGTACAAACAGCTGAGAGTGGCCATATTATCAAAATTACCTAAAAAGTCTAGTGTAATTCAATCAAAAGGAGCAACTAAATGAAGACCAATGACAACAAAAATTGCTAAACACAACCATTCAACAACTACAGAATTCATACCTTAGCATTGGGAATCATCTGCCTTCTCTCCGCAATAAGGTCAGAGTACATTATCTCAAAATAAACGCCACGCTGCCAATGGAAAGGAATACCACAAAATCACTAACACGAAACTTCAAAAGCAAACGAACACCACAAAAGCTAACAGCAAAGGTTGCCAAACCTCAACCGCAGCTTTAACCATTGACATCTTCAACCTGAAAGGCAGCTTCTCGGAGAAGTCAATAGCAATCAAGTCCACCTATTCATGTAATACCATTGTAATCAGGCCAAAACGACACTCGATTCCAACAATGATTCAGGCTAACAAAACGCAATTGGGCCAAAAATCGAAGCAAACCTCCGACTTCTCACATGCATGATCGAATGCAACTTGATTCGTCGGCCTCACAGCCACAACATCATAGCTCTTCAAGATAGGATTTCCGCTATTAAGCACCTGTGCTTGCGCCGGACTATCCACGCAGACCGTCAGACGAGTGTACTGACGGAAGGGCGTGTTGCGTGGAACTCCGAGCAGCTCACGGTGGAAACTGACTGAGGATGCGAGAGAAGGAACGAGACTGAGTAGAGATGAGAAAGACAAGAACGGGATAGAGCACCGGTCGTGATCGGACATCACGCCTCTCATCATCCGATTGTAAGCGACGCCGCTGTAGCCGAGCTCCATGGCCTTGATTACGAGCTTCATCCGCGTAGCCTTGGATGATTGCGAGGTCTCGTAAGGGATGTTCAGATCGAAAAACCCCATTGTTACAGTTCCAACTGCCGAACAGAGTATTCAGTCCAGCTATGGGGTTTAGGGTTTAAAAAAATTGGATCACTCCCGCACCAAAACCAACTGTTGAAAGTTGGGTAAATTGCAAGTTTGGTCCCTATAATTACTATAAAAGTTCACGTTAGTCTTTAAAATGATACCAACCTGCATTCTCCTTGAGACCACCTGCATCGCCACCGGTGTTGTGGTCAACAGAATCACTTTCAGTCGTGTGGAGAAGATGATTTTGAGTTTGGAGTTCTGGGAAGAACGACAAAAAAGGTGAAAGATGAATTTGGGTTTGAAGTTCTGGGAAGAACGACGAAAAAGGTGTGTATTCAATTTTGGTAGTTATAATTTTTTTTATTTATTTATCTTAATTTGTTGTTATAATACCCATAAAAAATCATATATTGTTATAATGAGGTGGTATTTATAAAATATTAATTTTCATTATTTTTAACTGCCACGTCACTTATTTAAAGGTCAACTATGAGAGTTGACAGCCACATCAGCAAAAGTTAACAAAGACTAACAGCAAGTGACCAAACTTGTACTGTTAAACTAATTTAAGTGACTACGAATAGAATAAATTAATTTTAGTGGCAAACGTGAACTTTTATAGTAATTCTAGTGACCAAACTTGCAATTTACCTTGAAAGTTGTAACACATAAGGAAGAAAAGCGAAACGCCTCTGTTTTGCGGGTTCTGCGGAACGAGGACGTGTCATTCAATTTCAATCGACTTAAGCGCCCAATTATGAGTTGCGGGGAAATTGAGGGTTTCTTACAATGAATTTTGAGGGATTGCCAAACTCTGGTGTGAAGAGCTCGAGGGTGGAGGTGGCCCATGGATTAGGTGCTACGGTTCTAGAGGAGTTCGGTTTAGTCTTAGCATGTACAATAGAGTTTCGCGTTTAATGACTTAAGAGACTCTATCATTGATAGTTCGACTATTTGTCGATTGCCGCATTTGATTGTTTGTTGTTTTCTACGCGAATTTTCAAACGGACAAAATTGAAAAAATATATCAACGTCATCGATCCACATCTATACAACCCACGAGTGTTCATCTCAAGGCGCCGATGTAATCTTATCTACTACGGTGGAAATAGATCTTTTTGCCAAGGATTGTTTCAATTTCAACCAAATCACATTCCCTTTCTATAAATACCTTCATCAAATTGTTTCCCAACTCACTTCTTTGCTTCTCCAATTTATCTCATACATTGAAATTTTATTAGATCTCTTAGTTTGATTTCGTGTAGCAAAAAGTCCGGACGCGACAAGGAGGAAAGGGCTCGAAAACGGAGGAGCAAATCATCATCCAAGGTTCTCTAGGGTCTGTGATTCGTCGCTTGGTTCGCAGAGGTGGGGTGAAGAGGATCAGCGAGCTGATCTATGAGGAGACTCTGGGAGTTCTCGAAATCTTCTTGGAGAATGCCATCCGCAAATCTGTGACCTACATGGAGCACGCCTGCCACAAGACAGTGACGACAGTGTATGTTGTCTATTGTTACGCAGCATCTGTGCATGGTCATGCACGTGCATGTCCCATATGTTAATTGTGTTAAGTTGAGGATTGATATGTAATTGTGTGTTTAAGCCTAAGCCTAATACTCGAGCCCTAGTTGTCTTGTGTAAAGGGAATAGTGGTTATATAAGACTAAGCTAGCATTGCGACAGCTAGCTACGATAATTATTCCTTGCAAACTTGATTCAGGATGCAACCAACACATTGCTCGATATGTCTCCTTGGTTAAGGATGTTGTTTTGGATTCGGAATTATGTGTAAATATTTCAAAAGGGGTATGCAGTTGCAGTTCATAAGATAGGGTCGATTTGAAACACCCTGATCCTTTTTACTAAACTAAAATACTCAAGACTCCGGAGCCGACCAAACAATGTTCAAAAACTTCATTAAAAAAATAAAACCGAATCATTTCCAAAAGAAATTCAAATGAAATGTCCTAAACACTTGGGCGATCTCAACCCATCGTCAATAAAACTGAGCTCCCTGAGATCTCATCAATGCTGGTGCGAGTGCGACTGCTCGCCTCGCCCTACCTCTTCGCAAAATACGCATCCGCTAACTCTTCCTCTACCTGGTGAGTGAGGAGGGGTCAGTCTCGTCGTTACTACAACCTAAGGTCCTTGCCTTAAGAATTTCTTTAGTATTAAACGTTATTAGAATTTCCCCTCTTACGTGAAAGTCGTTCTCGCCTTCACCCTTTATAATTCATTCTCTAATTAACTTATAGGATTTCTCTACTACTATCCTTAACTCACACACATAATTACTACTAGGGACTACCGCTTTACGTCTTGCCATCCGGTGCCCCTACCTCAACAGCAATGGTATTGCGTTACATCCCACCGTCCAACACCAAGCTCGGTCAACTACTGCGTTACCTCTCCGTCCAGTAGTGACCCAAACATACATGATCAACTACTGCGTCCAGTAGTGATCCAATCGTCCGGGGGTTCCCTTACTTTAATACCATCATTCATACATCAACACACACATTCATCCACATACACAAGCACAACGAGTGAATCCACCTTCAGTAACCGATGGGTTACCTCAAATAAGTAAACGTGCATAACTCGTAAATTAACGAACATAACTAGGAATAAAATACATAATCTAAAAAACCTGAACGGAGATTTTACCTCATTTACACTCACCTGACTAGTCATGCTCTTGTGTTGAATCCTTAGTTGCCTTGACATTCACAGCTTCTTCTCCAATGTCGAATCCTCTCAATATGATTGTGACCAATCCGGTTGAATCTCTCAATGTGTCGCCGCCACCAAGTCCTTTGCACCTTTGTACGTATGGATTGAGTCCCCCATGCTAGACCTCGAAATAGGTTGGCCCCAACATCACTTCAAGACGTGAAGTCCCCACAGCATATCGACCGCAAAAGATGTGAGAACACCACTACTTTGTAAGACATACGATGGAGAATAACGAGAGCTTACCCTTCACGTTTAGCCTATCTCCCGACGTGATTAGCTTGATAATTCTCTAGCATTTTTATACCGGCGACCGTTTCCTCTCCGTTCTTCTCTCGCCGCCCAATTCTACTCTACCTGATCTCCAATTAATCTCCACTCCTGTCCAATAATTCCGGGCGTCCCATCTAATTCAGCTCGTCCAAGACCCCTCTTTAATCCCTCTCGGCCCCTTAAAATCCAAGAAAACCCCCTCTCACTCAAATGATGCCTCTCTTCTCGTTGCGGCGCCGTGGTATTCCATGGAGAGGTAAATTGGAGTGAGAGATGATAGGGATATCCAGTGTGGCTGGCTCGTGTGAGAGGTATTAAAAGAATGAAAGTGTTCGAAGAGGTTTTCTCTCGGTTGCTGCAACTTAGGGTCTATAAGCAAGGGTTTCTTGGGTAATGGGAACCGAGTGGGGGTTAGGCTTTGGTTTTAAATATTTTGGGAATTTCACAATTATTGGTGAGTTTAATCCGAAACTAAGTGAACGTCAGTAATTTTCTCGTTTTATGTCAAAACTCGACACCGTTTGAACCGAAAGTTCATATTTTTAGTCCTCATTGATATTACAGTGGAATTTGACAAATTTTGACCAATGGCATAATTGTTATTTTGGCTTAAGAAAAGAATGGGGGTGTAACATTTCTCCCCCCGTTGGAAAAATTTTGTCCCCGAAATTGGAATTGAATGAAACTGCCTTGGTCGAGACATAATATTTCCCTCCCCCTTAAAAAATTTTCGACCTTGAAATTTGTTCATCGTGATAGCTCAAAGTCTCACATGTGGTAATCCTTCTACTACTGGGATTAATACCTCCTTTACCTTGTGCAACTGGGAGCTATAAATCCTTGCCTCTAATTCATGTGGTTCTTGGCCGACTGATGGCTCACCCATTTCCTCATAAACGACGTACTCAGCTTGCTACTTGTGCAATGCGACTATGGCACTGTGGCACTCTCCCTTCACAAACCCCTTTGATGTTGTAACAGCTTCTTAGCTCATTTTGTTCTCAACAAGTTGTCTTGGATCTCTACTCAGGATTCCTTAAGAAACATTAAGGAAATAAATTCTTAGCCAACCCTATTCGGGACCTGACACGTCGTAACTTCATCTCATAATGCGTCCAGACCTTGAACTACGTTCTCCATATCTTGACTGCTGACGCCTCTACTCGAAATCCCTGACATAGATGTCCGTAGTGAATGTTTGACTTGCTTAATGGCTTACTCATAGTTCGGTTCCTAGGTATTGCTTCTTCCCCTTTGTAGACCTCACTATTATCCTCTTGGTAACTCCACTTAATACACAAACTTGATGCCTGATTCACCATATATGGTGTTCTAAGAGTTTTTTCTCTCGGCTGCTGCAACTTAGGGTTTATAAGCAAGGGTTTCGTGTGTCTTGGGTAATGGGAACCGAGTGGGGGTTAGGCTTAGGGTTTAAATAGCCCAAGGGTATTTTGGAGAAATTTCATAATTACTAGTGAGTTTAATGGAAACTCAGTTAACGTCAGTAATTTTCTCGTTTTATGTCAAAACTCGACACCATTTGAACCAAAAGTTCACATTTTTAGTCCTCATCGATATTACGGTGGAATTTGAAAAAAAATTACCAAGGGAATGATTGTCATTTTGGCTTAAGAAAAGAATGGGGTGTAACATTTCTCCCCCGTTGGAAATTTTTTGTCCCCGAAATGGGAATTGAATGAAACTGCCTTGGCTGGGACGTAATATTTCCCTCCCCCTTAAGAATTTGGTCCCCAAAATTGGAATTGAATGAAACCACTTGCCTACCGTGGCCATTGAGAATCTCACTCCTTATGAACGTATCTTTGGGCGTCCTCCCTCATATACCCATCTTCAGACTTTTGGTTGATTTGCCTATGCCAAAGACACATCTTCTCTCTGGGACAAGTTTGGTGAAAGGGGGAGACATTGTCTTTTCCTTGGCTATCTCGCTTCACATAAAGGGTACAGGGTAATGGAGTTATGCTCTCATCGCATTTTCACTTCTCCTAAAGTCGTCTTTTGCCAGCACAAGTTTTCTTTCTCAGCTCTTTTGTGCATCCTTCCGTGGCTCCAGCTCCGCAACGTGATCCCTTGGATGATGATGATGATGATGGACTTTTTATCTTCCGAGTCTTCCCCAGAACCTGCCAACGACGCCTCCGTTCAACCTAGTTCTTTCAACGTTGTTGCCATCACTGACTACACCTCACCACCATCGCCAGCTGCCTTGGCTCCTCCTGTCATACATCGTAGCAACCGGATTTGCCATCCGCCTCGACATCTCGTTGACACTTATGAAGTCGACCTTCCTTCTTTTCATACCCTTCATGTTTCCTCCTTCAAATATCCCCTTGAAGTTGTTGTTAATTATGCTTGGTTGTCCCCTAACCACCGTGCTTACATTGCCACGATTTCTCGAGAGGTTGAGTCTCAATCCTTTAAGGAAGCAATTCATCATGCTCACTGGCGTGCGGGCAAGCAGAAGTAAATATATGTTCTTGAAGCTAATGGTACTTGGATCTTGCAACATTTACCATTTGGTAAATGTCTCATCGATGCCAAGTGGGTTTATTGGATTAAGTACAATCATGATGGTATGGTCAAAAGGTATAAAGCTTGTTTAGTGGCAAAGGGATACACACAAGTTGAGGGCGTTCATTTTCACGACACCTTCCCTTCTGTCGCAATGCTCATCACAGTTTGTTGCACACTTCTCCTTATTGCGGCACAAGGATGGTTTCTTCACCAATTGGATGTCAACAACGCATTCCTCCATGGTGACTTAGATGATGAGGTTTATATGTGGATCCTTGATGGATTTGGTCAATCCGGGGAAACCAGAGTATGTCGTCTTCGCAAATCCCTTTACGAATTGACGTAGGCTTCGAGGAACTCGTACGCAAAGTTTACCCAAGCCATTGTTAGTTTTGGCTTTGTAGCCTCGCTACCAGACCATTGATTATTTATATATCATCATCGAGACATTTTGTGTTTTCACTTATCTATGTGGATGATGTTATACTGGGATTTAAGTCCCTAACCGTCATTGAGAAAGTGAAGACGTATCTCCATAATAGTTAGTTCAGCATAAGAACCTTGTCGCTTTGAAGTATTTCCTAGGCATTGAAGTATCTCATTCGTCAAAAGGAATCATTCTCACACAACGCAATTATGCATTGGAGATTCTCGGAGACGCTTCCGTTGAGGATGCTCGTCCATGCAAGTTCCTCATAGAGCAGAATCATCATGTGACTCGTGTAGACGAACCAGCCAACGTTGATGCTTCTGCTTATCATCGTCTAATGGGTCGATTACTTTATCTCAACGTAACACAACCAGAGATCACATACGCGATTAACATCTTGAGTTAGGTAGTGCACAATCTGCAGCAGACTCACCTTGATGCAACTAACCGAGTTCTCCGATATTTGAAGAGTGCGCACGGTCAAGGCCTTTTTCTTCCATCTGCTGTTAGTTGGAATTGACTGCCTTCTATCATGCAGATTGGGGAGGCTGTGAGCAAACCAGACAATCTACTACAAGTTATTTCATACAGTTAGGATCTGCAGCAGTGTCTTGGAGAACTAAGAAACAAACGATGGACTAAATCCTCGGTTGGGGTTGAATATCGGGCAATGGCTAGTATTGTGAGTGTGTTGATTTGGCTTCACTGGTTATTAGCGGAACTCGGCGCTTAACAGTCGAACTGTCGAAGGCCACGGTTATGCATTGTGATAATCAGGTTGCATTGCATATTGCAGCTAACTCAATACTCCATGAGTGTACTAAGCACGTGGAAATTGATTGTTATTTTGTACGTGACTCCGGGGTTGTTTTCACCTATTATAATATGAAACACGCTGAAACACAGGAAACCTAGCTTAAAATCACCCCTTTTGCAACAAACATATGGTCAGAAACACAGGAAATTGCAACAAACATATAAAAGAAACGGGGATAAAAAGTGTACAATTAGGCCAGAATCACGCATGGTCCGCACGTGCATGGCACACACGCTACGCCTCCCCTCCCCGAGTCATGTTTTTGCCATAGACAACATCTCCGGTACATTGTTGTTGTGACAAAGTGGGGGGAGGGGGTAGATTTTCTGGCTTTCCTTGTAGAATATCGGGCCAAATTTGGCTCTCAACGTACCATTTTTTTGGCATTCCAATCCTTTTCACTTGTTATTGGAGGAGGTTTTGAGACAGATTATTACTTTTTGGCTCTCTATTGGAGATAGCCTAAGAAGGCCTCATAAGAATAGAAACAAAACACTAGGGTGAGAATTGGAACGGGTTGGAATATTTTTCTTTAAATTTATTTTATGTTTAAATGTAGATTATTTATGTTATGAATTAATTAAATTTTATATCATATAAAAGACAAAAAAATCTTTGCGACACACCCTGCTAAATGAGTAACCTGTGTTTCTGTACTTCTATACCTTCTATATATTATTATTACTCTATCTATCACTATCACAAGTAATAACCTATTACAAAGATCGATACATCAACAAGGCCAAAATACAACAGTTACATCCACTCAAAATATCATTTTAACGTCATTTTTAATGAGCTCTATCAGAGTAGCTCTTCTTTACTCCTCCATGTCTCAGAAGACATCGCTCTGTCTCCACTCTCCAGGATTGTGCTTGCCATAGTATGCCAGGTAACTCGGACAATGTGCATACGAACACTCTTCCCTTTAAGTACATCCATTGCCCACTTTAAGATAATATTATTTTTAACGAATCTTGTAAATAATTGATATTAGAAAAAATTATTTAAATTTAAATTTAAATTATTAAAAAAAATGTGGCGTGCTCTGTCCTCTCTCCTACGGAAACTCGTAGGAACAACAAGCTTCCTCTTCTTCTCCATTTGGCTTTCGAAGGATGAAGCCATGGAGATCTCAGCAACATGGGTGCGTTGGGTGAGATAGACATGGGAAGGGAAGGTATTGAAGGTGTGGTCTGCGATCAGGCACGCCAATGGCCCTATGCTGCGCACAGCGGTGAAGAAATGTTGGTTGGAAGACGCACGGGGTGGGGAGTTGTTAACGATGGAGAAATGGTTTGGTCAGTCTGTAAATCCTTGCAAGGAGGATGGGGGCCCGAAATGGGGCCCTGGATAACGATTGTGATGTCAATGATAAGGTTTGTTCTTAGAATCCGCCGAGCAACTATACACCCTGATGGGTAGGGGTGGGCATTCGGTCGGTTCGGTTTGAACCGAACCGAAATGCTATATACCGACTTTCCGAAGCTTTCCACACCCGACCGAATTCGAACCGAAATATATTTCGGTTCGGTTTGATCGAACCGAAATATATCTCGGTTCGGATCGGTTTTATTGCCATAAACCGAAATTGGCAGCTCTTTGCGTTTTGCCCTACTGACTCTTGCGTTTTGGCTCCTGTCGCTGGGCAAAATGGATGGAGGCCTCCATTTACCCTATCTTTTCAATTCTCCCTGACTCCTCAATGACACCCTCTCTCTCTTCCGCCCTCTCACTTCTCCCTGCCTCCTCCGATCTTCCACCCTCTCTCTCCCTCCAACCAACTAACAAGGCGGCGGCGACCGGCGATGGCGAGCACAACACAGCTGAGTCCTCTAATCTTCCCCCCTCTCTCTCCCTCCAACCAATTAACGAGCTGGCGGCGACCGACGACGGCGAGCACAACGCAGCTGCCGCGACGATAGAGATCTCTGCCTCCAGTCTCGAAGCTACACGGCGACGGTAGAGATCTTTAAGGGTTCGAAAGTGAAGAAATCCAATCGAAGGGCGGCGGCAGGCAACGATTGACGACGGCGATGGTGATAACTTCAATGACGAAGGTTCGTACAAGTTCAAATCCAAGCATGCATGACATTTTTTGGGTTTGTATTCTCATTCGAGCTTTAGTGTCATCGCCTCTGTTTTCGATTCAGGTGGAGATAACTTCAATGATTAAGGTTAACTCGGCGGTGAAGGAGGTGGAAGAGCATGATGGAGAAGACGGTGGAGGTGGTGGCTTGATGGCGTCGGTCGTTGAAGAGGGCGAGGCAGGGGAAGGAGGAAAATGGCTGACGGCGGCAACTACGCCTGTTGTGTTGTGAGAAGGGGATGGGTGATAGTGGGTTAGATCTGGGCTAGGGTTTTCACTTTGCGGGATGGGGCCGATAGGGGATGGGAATGAGCTAGGGTTTCAATAGGCAAAGGGGCTTTTGGGCTTGGGGTCCATGACATGTCAACTGTTGGGCAATTTTTCGGTTTTCGGTTCGGAATTCGGAACCTCGGTTTCGGTTGAGAGAACCTTGGTTTCCGAATTAACCATGTTTCTCTTCCGAATTCCGAACCGAATAACAAAAGTTCGGTTTCGGTTCGGTTCAATTCGGTTTCGGTTCGGTTCAGTTCGGGTTTACCGAACCGGATGCCCACCCCTACTGATGGGGTATAGAGCCGGATCGTCGACCGGAATACAAATCTGACGACGGGAGATGAGGATCGCGGACTCGAGCTGACGTGGAGTAGTTGGCTGGTGTTGAGGGGGATTTAAAAAATATTAACAATATTAATTTTGAAATCCGCAAGAGGATTTATTTGAACCGCGATCGGTTGGGTGGTTGGGATGGAGATGACTCCCGATCCCCTAGGCTTTCTGTTACAAAAATAAACCCTTGGGTTATCCTACAGGTTCCGATCGGATTCCCTGCTTGGGATAGAACTCTCGGAGGGACTTTAAATTTAGCTGAATTCTACAACAACCTTTGCATACCAAAAAAAAAATACAAGGGTTGGCTGGTAGACTGTTTACAAAGAATAAGATTCTACCGAGGCCTTACTTTCTTGGTATTACTTGGTGTGTGTCTCTCGCCGCCGAATAACAACTTTGATCAACTGGGGCAAGGAGCAATGGCGGAGTCCAATATTTGCCAAGACTAGATCGTGGAGTTCTCCACTGAGGATGTGGCTCTGAGTATGCAGAGGGCGAAAATGAGCCTGATGGGGAGACTCTTCATCGAGAATCGGCCAAGCTTGTTAGTCATCCAGAAGATTGTCACAAATGCTTGGGAACGCCGTAAGAAGGTCCAGGTGTTGGAGGCGGAGATGGGTCTCCTTCAATTCTTGTTTGACGATGCTGAGGACATGGAATGGGTGTTGAAGTGCATGCCTTGGCCGGTCAAGGACCGGGTCTGCAACTCCAGCGCTGGACACCAGTTACGGAGGAGGTGTTTGACTCCCTCGGACTTGCGCCTCTCTGGGTTCAGATGTGGGGGATCCCCTCCCACTGCCGCATTTGTTTCTTCATTGTCCAGTGGCTAAGGACTTGTTGGCAGATTCGGGACTAGAGGATGTCCGGGCTGGGTTACCGAAGGTGAATGTTGGACTGTTTGGTCGCCGGATGGTGGAGACGGTGTCTGATGAGGAGTTCCTTACGCGTTTCTTATCCCTGTTGTGGCGGGTGTGGAAGTCCCGTAATTGGGTGGTCTTCGAGGGATGCCAATACCAAAGGGAGATCCTGCGGAACCAGTGGCTAACTCAGGTGGAAGAATGGCATCGTACGAGCTGTGTCGAGGAGGGCCGACATCAAGGCCGGCGACAGGTGGCGGCACTAGGACCACTTCGGCAGCCTCAGGGTGTGTCTTGGGTGTGCTCTTCTGATGGAGCAGTGCGTGAGGTGTCACACTCTGCGGTGGGGATTGTCCTGCAGAGGCCAGATGGGGTGGTGGTTAGGGCTCTGGGAAAGGGATTGGCTGGTCTAACGGACCCAATGCTAGTGGAGTTGATGGCTCTGCGGGAGGCGATCTTGTGGTGTCGGGCGATGGGTTTGCACGGTGTCTGTTACCAGGGGGATGCTAAGGTCGTCATCGACAAGCTTTTGGCTGGGTGTGCTTGGGATTGCTATAGGGGAGCAATGCTGCAGGAGGTTCAGGAGATGTTGGCCAGTGTTACTGGGGATGTGCTTCGATTTGTAGGCAGGGATAACAATAGGGTAGCTCATAGGGTGGCTAGGAAGACCCTTTCTTTGTATCCTACTCTTATTAGGAGGGTTTGATTTTTGCGTTTGGCTCCACTCGGAGATGTAATCGTTTGTGATCTTTATTTCTTGGTAATACAAGCTATCTTTTGTCAAACAAAAATATTTAAATTTAAATTTATTGTCTTTATGAACTCACGGGTCGGTCAAAAGTGTTCAAATAGTTATCCAATTTAACGTATTTAGCTGTCCCAAGTGGAGCCAGGCAGTCATAAACGGCACCGTAAAACGGGGAAACGAAGACGAGTTTCAAATTCTTTCAAGTTTCAACCCAATTGCGAGCTGCGGCCTGCGGGGGAAACGAAAAGATCCGCGCGAGTGAAAATCCCCAAATTTCCACACGAAATATTTCAAACGGGCGTTCTACCCACGTCATCTATCCACATCTGAAAAAAAATTTCATCCCGACCCGTCGATCTACTCTTATCTACGGCTGCCAGAGCTCCTTCTACCGCGTGACCCGGATCGACCTCATTTCAACCAAAGCCGATTTCCCTTTCTATAAATACCTTCACCAAACAGTTTCCCCAACTCACTCATACACTTCTGCAAATTAGCTCACCAGCAACCACATCACAAATTTCCCTACATCTTTCCGGTTCGATTTCCTGAAGCAATATGTCCGGCCGCGGCAAGGGAGGCAAGGGGCTGGGTAAAGGAGGAGCTAAGCGCCATCGCAAGGTTCTCCGAGACAACATCCAGGGAATCACGAAGCCGGCGATTCGGCGCCTCGCTCGCAGAGGTGGTGTGAAGAGGATCAGCGGGCTCATCTACGAGGAGACTCGGGGCGTTCTCAAGATCTTCTTGGAGAATGTCATCCGCGACTCTGTCACCTACACGGAGCACGCCCGCCGCAAGACCGTGACGGCCATGGACGTCGTCTATGCGCTCAAGAGGCAGGGTAGGACTCTCTACGGGTTCGGCGGTTAGGAGAAATTCAAATTCCAGGGCCCTAGTGAGAGAGAGAGAGAAGGAAGTCTTGCTGTCGTGACAAGAAAGAGGAAGCTCGTGGAAAGATGATATGACTAGCTTAGGGTTCATGTACTTTTCCTTTTTTTTTCTCTATCTTGTAATTGAGTTCTTCTGCTAGTAATGGATTCTTGCAGTTCATGCTTGAAGTAAAAATTCGGTTTATTTACTGTTTTACTAAATCGCGTTATCCATCAGTTAATACATTTTAAGCCTGGTAACAAAAAGGGGCATATCCTCTCAAATTTAATAGATGATCATAGTGAAAACGTTCATTTGAATTCAATAGTCAGTGGAATGGCCTGAAAACCGCCATTGAAACTCGCCACACATTCAAGCCTTAGCTTTGTAAGTTCTACGAGGAAGAAGAAACTGGAACGGACAAAATTTTAGACTATCTTGAAAGTCCGTACCGTACATCTAAGGTTAAAAAGCAAAGAGGGAAACGATTCTTCTCTTCTCTAATTTAATCTAATCAATGGTCCAAAGCCCCATAATAACGTCTTTGATTTCCAGAGTCGAAAGGACCAAACATCAAATAATCACATCCCATCACTCGGATTTCCGCTTTAATGAGCTTGCACCAGAATGTCGCAACCGACTCGTACACCTTCCTACAAACTTGAGAACCTCATCGATCAGGATGACAGGGAAGGCCACGGCGACCACCAACAGCCACTCGTTCAGGCTGAGAGGCACAATCCCGAAAATCTGGGCAAGGATGGGCACGTACAGGATCAGAAAGTGCAGCGCGAACGAGATCGACATGGCCAGGAGGAGGAATGGGTTCATCCATGGAGGCATTGTCAGGAGGCTTCCATCCTCGGAGAGAGCATTGAGCGAGTTGAACATCTCAATAGCCACGAGCACCGAGAGCGAGAGCGTGGAAGCCTTGATCTTTCCCGACCTGAAGTAGTCACACGGGTTCGAGTCGAAGTTAAAGGTCTGCGCTCCTGCCGTGAAGGGTGTCACCGAAAAGTTCTTCCATGACTCGCATCGATCCCAGCTTGCTAGCTGTGAGTACGTGACAAGTGAGTGGCCATCTCCACTTAGGTCTATCCCCATGAACGAGCTGTGGGTGTACCATATGATGAAGACCCCGACAGTTGCGATCCCGACGTAAAGACCGATCACCTGCGTGAATGGAAAGGGTTCTTGACCAACTGAGGTACTGATGTCTTAAGATTGACAGGTCTTTTTAAGGGGGAAGGAAATTCACGTACCAGGTACCGGAATAATATCCAAGGCGTGATCAGTGAGTCATTGCTTCTTCTGGGAGGCTTCTTCATTATATCCTTATCCGCAGGGTTGAATCCTAAAGCTGTTGCTGGCGGCCCATCCGTGACGAGATTCACCCATAAAAGTTGGACAGGAATCATCCCCTCCGGAATTCCCAGAGCAGCTGTCAAGAATATAGAGGCGACCTCACCCATGTTTGAGGATATCATGTACCTATAATGTTGAGAAGTTAAGAGTTGGAACTCAATGGTTATCACAATTACGGACTCAGGGTAAAAAAGGTTCCCAAACATGGTACTGTTTCTTGAATGCGTGGATAAACTACATTGAAGTCCTCACCGGATGTAACAAAAGAAAAATCCATAGAGCACCTTGCCCCTTGAGATTACATGTTCTATTACGATACTTAAATAGAGGGAAAGTTCATCAATTTGAAGTACCTGATAAATGCCTTCATGTTGTTGTAAATTGACCTGCCTTCACCAACAGCAGCAACAATGGTGCTGAAATTGTCATCTGCCAACACCATATCAGATGCTTCTTTTGCAACCTGAAGCGATTATATGATGAGGATAATAAATACAATTAGCGAGTAGACGATGAGATCATTCCAGCTTCTTACGAAGACCCAATCAGATAATGTAACCTATGCATAATATTCTCAGAGTACAAATATAAGTGCATTGAATCAAATGTACTCCAAAAGTTCAAATATGAACACTCATGCACAAAAAATCGAAGTATATCTTGGGCCACTACAAAATCAGCTGACAGAATGGAGAGTGCAAATCGAAGTATAACTACCTCTGTCCCGGCGATGCCCATAGCAACTCCAATGTCAGCCAACTTCAAAGCAGGTGCATCGTTGACACCATCACCAGTCATTGCAACCACCTCACCTTCCTCTTTCAGCAGCCTCACTATTTCTTGTTTGTGCCTTGGTTCTGCTCTAGAGAATAGTAGCCCGCCACTTTGTCTCAAAACCTCCTTTTTGTTGGGATGGTCCATGAAGTCTCTCCCAGTAAAGCTTCTTAAACTTATATCGTCATACTGTCCAAAGACGCCTATTTCACGGCATATAGCCTCTGCTGTGTTTTTGTTGTCTCCAGTAATAACCATAACTCTGATTCCAGCAGCCCTGCAGTCCTCAATTGCTTGAGGAACTTCTTTACGTGGTGGATCCTACAAAAATGTTGTAACTCGATTATTGTTCTGTAAGAGTCATGGTAGTGAAACAACTGGAAAAATCAAAGTGAAACCACCAACTCACCCTCAGCCCAACCAAGCCAACAAACACTAGTTTACTCTCAATCAAAGAATAGTTAGATGGATTAAGTAACAGCTGATGAGCCGGATGGTCTTCATCGCCATTGTATGTGTCAAACTCTGGAAGATCTTCTTTGTATGCAAACCCTAGGCAGCGTAATGCAGTTGTTGACATGTCATGAAGGCTCTGTAAGATATGATCCCGAGAATATTGGTCTAGTTCTACAGTAGACCCATCAAGCAACTGAATATGAGTACTTCTCTCCAGCACATTCTCTACAGCACCCTGCACAGTTGAAGGAACATCAGATGAACTATGAGAATCACATGTCAAAAGCAACAAGGGGGGAAAAAAGAAGAAGAAGAAGGCAAAGGGATAGTCTTGATAGAGAATATACCTTAACTAGTAGCACCTTTCTACTAGAGCTAGAATTGACTATGACACCCATTGATTTTCTGTCTCGGTCAAATTCAAGGGTTGCAATGCGCTGCTCCATTTTGTTCCACAGCCCTGAGCAACCTTAATAACAATAGAGATGCAGCACATGAAGCATTTTGCTAAGGCGATAATGAAGATACGCAGACCAAGAAATTGAGATAGGATTACATACTTAAAGTTTCACCACTCAAAGAAGAGGCATCATGATTGACTATTCCAGGAAATCCCATTTTCTCGACCAAAACCTGGTAGATGAGCAGAAGAAAATTGTAAGACTACGTATGTAATCATCAACATGAACTGAACTGGTGAACTATCTGCACAACAAAATCATTACTCGCAAATCTGTCAGCCAAGAAAGGCAACAGAACCAATGTACCAGCATAAAGGACAGGCTAAAAGTTTGGACACAGGCGTACCAAAATACACAAAAAGGTACCAAACAGCCGATATTAAGACCGTCATGTTGCCTTGCAATAAGGATGTACCACATTTAAGTGTATGCTCTAGATTCACAAATTATTGAGTCTGAAGAAGTTGAGAAATAGGAAGATTTTATTTATTTACCTTCAATGCAGCTTCTGTAGGCATTCCAGTAGAAACATAATGCTGTCCTGATTGCTCCACACCAGCATCATTGCAGATTGCAGCAATCTTGGCGATCATTTGAAGATTAGCATCCATTCGACCGACAGGCCAATCTTCTATTTTACCATCAAAGGGATTATACGTTGTGCCTTCCACATTGAATGATCTCAGATTTCCAGCCCTAGAACCCATAGCCATAAGCTTTGATACAGCCATCTGATTGGTTGTCAGAGTCCCTGTTTTGTCAGAGCAAATGACAGTGGTGCAACCAAGAGTTTCAACACTTGGAAGCTTCCTGACAAGGGCATTCTTTTGGGCCATCTTGCGTGTTCCAAGTGCCAAACATGTCGTTATGACTGCTGGTAATCCTTCGGGTATGGCAGCTACTGCCAAAGCCACAGCAATCTCAAAGTAATACGTGCACTTCTCAAATGAGAACTTGAAGTTCTTGGGCCAGCCATCAACATATTCCCAAGTGAGGAAGTACTTGACATTGATGAGCCAAACCAATGCACAAATAACACCAATAATCATGGTTAGGGCCTCTCCAAACTCATTCAACTTCTTCTTCAACGGTGTATCTTCCTCGTGCTGGGCAGCTTCATGAATTTGTGAATGCACCTTCCCTATCTCAGTGTTCATTCCAGTGCCAGTGACCAAGCACATGCAGTTACCATTCACCACTGTCGTTCCAGCAAAAACCATACATTTTTTGCCCTGGATATCAGTATGCTCGGCAACAGGTTTAACAGTCTTGCTCACAGCTTCACTCTCTCCCGTCAAAGAGCCTTGCTCGACCCTTAGCGTAGAGCTAACCAGACTGACAACCCGCATATCTGCAGGCACCTTATCACCGACCCTCAACTCCACAATATCCCCAGGGACAAGTTCCTTAGCAGGGAGGCTAGAAATCTTCTTCCCATCTCTTACAACAGCAGCATGCTCTGACTGGATTTCCTTCAACGCTTCCAAGGCCTTCTCGGCGTTGCTCTCCTGCCAAATCCCGACAATCGCATTCACAATCAATATCAGGAAAATCACCAACGGCTCCACGAAAGCCGTGATCTCCATCTCGCCGCCTTCTTTCCCATCATACCACGCCAAAATAAAAGATATGACGGCAGCGGCCAACAATATCCTAACTAAAGTGTCCTTGAATTGCTCCACTATCAATTCCCAAATAGACGTCCCTTCATGCTTCTCCAACTCGTTGTGGCCATAGATCTGGTGCCTCTTCTCCACCTCTGCAGCGTGCAGCCCCTGCAGAATGTCGACTTCGTACTTGGCCTCGCATTCCTTCACGTCTTTCGACCAGGCCGGGAAGACATCCCGATTCTCATCCGATTCAAGCCCGAGTTTCCCGCTCGTTTTCCCCATGTCCTGCCCTCCCCTCCCCATCGATTTCAGTTCCTAACACGAAAATTCACTGGACCAAGATCCAATTCTAGACCTTTTGAATCGGAAGCATAAAATACATCAGGATCCAGCTACGCAGCCTTCAGGGGGGAAGAAAAACAAAACAGAGAATAAATTGAAAAAGATCAAGCTGGATAATGTATTGTGAGAGAATCTAAGAGAAGGCACGAAGGAAAATTCGGAGTCAATTTTCTCCGCAACCAAACAGACGAAACAACACGCAAAGATGGAAATTATCAAGAATTCTAGGGTTTCCGACTCACCAGGAAAGC